CGTTCTCAACATGTTTATGACGTGCCTCAGCCTCCAGTGCATTTCGGTGCGCCTCGCCTTCTCGCGCTCTGCAGCATGCGTCCTTCTCAACCTCTTTACGACACGCCTCAGCCTCCAGTGCACTACGGCGTGCCTCGTCTTTTCGTGCTCTGTAGCACACCTCGTTCTCAACATCAATGCGACGCGCCTCAGCCTCCAGAGCACTACGGTGCCTCGTATTTTGGCGCTGTGCGGCACGCGCCGTTTTCGACCCTTTACGGTGTGCCTCTGCCTCTAGTGCATTGCGATGCGTCTTGCCTTCTCGCGCTCTGCAGCACGCGTCGTTCTCAACCTCTTTACGACGCGACACAGCCTCTCGTGCATTACAGTGCGCCTCGTCTTCTCGTGCTCTGTAGCATGCCTCTTTCTCAATATCTTTATGACGTGCCTCAGCCTCCAGTGCATTATGGTACGCCTCGTCTTCTCGCACTCTTCAGCACGCGTCGTTCTCAACCTTTTTACGACTCGGCTCAGCTTTCAGTACAGTACTGTGCGCATCGTCTTCTCGCGCTCTGTAGCACGCCTCGTTCTCAATACCTCTGCGAGGCGCCTCAGCCTCCTGTCCTTTTCTTGTTTCATTGCACGAGCATGAGACCTATGCACCAGCCTTCTCACATAAGAAAGGGACACGTTAAACTGTGGTGGCAATGCCTAGTAAAAAACGTCGACCTGCAGGCGCGCGTGGGCTCAGTGGGGACATCTTCGTCCGGTTTCACGATATGCCATCACGCGGCAAAATGCTTGTCCTGTGATTATTTTAAATAAACGTCAAGTTTCCTTCTACTGAAGGAAATTTAGTATCTTCAAGCTGCCTCGACCCCGTCTTTGCAAATCTGCTGTGCCAGAACAATCAGACACAACACTTCAACAACCTCCAGGACCGCTGCAGAGTTTAATGCCGTTTGGGAATATGTCCTATAGAGGGTTCTTTTTCCCATTTGGCAGTTTTATCAATTATTAGATTACTCACATGGCGATAATCTATTGTAAAACACTATGCACAATTCAAATTATTTATCTGAATATCTCGTGCAACATGCTAAAAGGAGTGCGATCGGTCTGTATAGTTTGTGGATGAATGGTGAAACAGATCACGTCGTGTGTTGATGAAGTCTATTCGGGTATGCGCATGATGGGAAGTTATCAGGAGAAAAGAAAAAGTGTGTGAGGACAGTTATTACATCACTCGCATGACGATAAAAGTGATATTCTTTAGCAAACTATACTTTATAAGAAACCATCAAAAAGCACGGAAACAGCGAAGGAACCAGACAGGACAAGTGCTGGACTAACAACGAAATATTTATTAAAGAACGCCCCACATGCATGAAGCATCAGCGCATGCGTAAATGAGCTATCTGAGCCTATTATGTGCACCATTAACAATACAAAGCCAAAAATTAGGCATGTAAAGGTGGCGCAAACAGCGCATTTCCACAAAGCCAAAATATCAATGCCACGTGCACCCGTTGACTAAAAACTAAGGGTTCGCATCACACATATCACGTTGCCTATTTTATTATATCAATAGGCTTCGCGACTTTCATATTAAATGTTAATTCTCAATTCCTTTTTTTATGGAACCCTGATTTGAAATCAGGGGCGTGCAGCTACATCCTTTGCAGTGCAGACGTACGCGAGTTTCGAAATTCCTTGTGATGTAGCCGTGTCTACAAAAGTCAGAAGAACCGATCAGCTTCAATGACAGACGCTCCTGAGACTTCAGCACCATGAGACTACAGCACCGCCGCTACTGTCCCCCTCCGGAGAATCAGTCGAGATGCGATGCAGCCAGAGAACCATTGTTAATATGCAGAGAACACCTACCAGTTTCATCTACCATTGCCCATCCTTGCACAAGGGCATTTTTGACGGGCCGTAAATGGAAGCAAAATCATATAATGCAACAAGTTTTTATTGATTGTGGATACTGACGTACAGTGAATTAAGTGGGGAAAGTATATTTTAATCGTCGTCAGAAGTTTCTCTTGCATGCTCTTCTCTTGAAGTTAGTGCGATTATACCTTTTTATTGAAAAGTGATATTAATATAACGTTTATCAGTTTTACAAATAGGCATGCTGAGAAAGTGATGCTAAATTTTCACCCCTCTGCTATGCGCCCTTTGTGAAATAAAGGCCTGCAAACTCTGCAGAAAAACTTCTTATGTTAAATTTGGGAATTTTTATAACAAATCTACATTACGCTGACACTCGAAATGTGATTGAGCGTAAGGACCAGTACGCCTATATGTAGCCAAACAAATTTGAGGTACCAATTATTAATATATTTTGTGTAATTATTTCAACGGCAAATTCAAAAAACGCATCAGAGCAGATAATTAAACGTGGCACTCCACATCTCTGTCATTATTGATTTACTGTGCTTCAAAGAAAAGTTTTATGGCAAAACAATTGCGAATTCTTCTTTACACAGATTAGGCAGCAATATATAATATTTTGAATGAAATTTAAGAGGTCGACCAGATGCTGTGTTCGATCTTACGTGGAATCACCCAGCTTACGCCAGCTGCGTCGAGTGGACGAATGTGTAGACGAAAAATGTCGGGGCCTGCACGAATCCAATTAACCTCATCGTTCTGCGTTGCAACCAAGTATTCTGGCACAGAGCCGCCGTCCGCGCCGGCACAAGCGCTACATATCAGCTTCCCGCTTCTGGTGTTGATGACATCCATGTCACTGTTGGCTTCGTTACGCAACAGTAAACATTTGACTGTTTAACATGTCTGCGTACATTTTTTACATATCTTTATGAGACAAAAAAAAAACGACACCTACCTTTCATTAACACCGATACTCAAGACACGTGTGACCCTTCGAAGTTTCGCAATCGGGGCTGCACGACACGAGATCTGTACCACGCATGATCGCAACACATATCGCCCTCCTTTGCGCAACTACGTTGCTCTGTGAGCGCAGATATCACGTACAATACCCGCAACAGCCACGGACCGCATTACCTTGAGGATTACATAACGCCGTTCCAATTTTCTCATTAACCTCCTCAGACCTGAGAGTAATGGCACGGAGAAATAACTTTGACCAAGTTCTTATACTTATTTTTGTGTTACATAGAACCCCCCTAAAAATTATTTTGAATGTGCGCAGAGTCTAACAACAAGTAATTGTTTGTCCCCCTGCAGGGACACTGGGTCTATCCTTAGGCATTGCTAGGAATACGTATGCATTTTTGTGTATTTGGAAAGGGCTGCAAATAACTGTTTCGAGGATGAACTTTAGAGAAAGAAAGATTAAATTGATTTTTATTAGTTCTGGTGACACATTTAGAGCACAAAAAATCACTTTGGGACGGATGGGCGCGGGACATACAGAAACGTCTTGTCTTTCTTGCACCATATTTTGCCCTTATCTTCAGGCTCCGCTACAAAGGCAGCCGACAGCATCACAATGGGCTTTTTGTCGACCCATTTTGTGCAAGCAAGCCTGCTGTCTTGTTGCAGTCGCTGCTCCGAAGTGCCCCGAGATTTCTTCAATAAATCCTTGTCATTTGTGAAATTGGCCTCTTTTGGCATTCTGTTCTTCATCAGAGTGCCGGTGCCAAAAATGCCCTTCTTCATAAGCTCATCCATAAAACTGACCGAAGAAAACCAACGGTCACAGTAAAGCGTGGAGCATGCAGGCACTGTCTCAACCAGCTTCAAGACTGAGTTGCCCGATATGCCAAGGCCAAAGTCTGGAAACGTCTCTTTGCCTTTGTAAATTGCAAAATCATATATCAACCCGTCCTTTCCTGCGAGAACAAAGTTTTTCAGGCCCACAGGATTTGGTTTGTTAGGGATATACTGCTTCATAGGGCAGCGCCCGGAAAATGGGATGACTTGTTCATCCACACAGAAGCAGTTGGATCTTTCCAAGCCCAAGCAGCCCTTTCGCACCATCTCAACAAAAGGCGCAACCTTCCAAAGTCTCTGGCTCTTCCTGTCGTCATCACTAATGTCGTCATCAAGTTGGCAGCACAGGTTAGATCGCAGTAAGAAGAAACGATCTCGTGGCATGGTGTCGGCTACTGAGCTAACAGCCAGGCCCTTCTTCCAAAAAAATCGTATTCTTGGATAGCCAATCACTCCCATCAGCATGGAACAACCCAGGAACTGTTTAACTTCCTGACTTGTGATTTTAGATATGATTCTACGCTTTCTCAGAATTCTCTGGATTGTTTTCTCGGCCATTTTTTCGAGCATGTTGTCATCTACATACTGCTTGTAGTAGTCGGCAGGCGAGAACTCCAATCTAGCTTCCGAAAAAACACACCCCGTCTCGAGAACAGGCACATTGTTTGCTGGTGAACAATTGGCTGCCTTCTACAGAGGACGCCTTTGCGAAATTCCTACGCCGCTGGAGCCGTCGTCGTCACTATCAGAAGATGAACCAGCATACTCCTCAGTGTCGGAATCATACGCGGCATTCACGGCGTCAACGTCGTCTTCATTCTCGGAGTCCGAAATATCGGAAGTTTCCCGGTCAAAAATTGATTGATATACTTCGTCTGCTAGCAAGGTTCCTTTTGGCGTTGCATAAGTTTGTTGCCAGACTTTGGGGTGGTTGTTGCCAGACTGCCGATAAGTTTTGCTAAAAAGTTTTCTCCTATAGTTGTGGCTTGTTCGTAAGAGTTTGGTGCTATCCGCGGTGCATTTCGCGAGTGCATGAGTGACGCTGGCCGTTTTTATTAACGGAATGAACCGAGCCTAGCAGAAGTCGAGCGAGGTGCTGCCATGCAATTAAGAGGCCGTTTTAATTCCGTTTTAATTAACGGAATGAACCGCGCCTACCAGAATTCGAGCGCGGCGCTGCTGTGCACGCAATTCAGTGGCCGTTTTAATTAACGCAATGAACCGCACCTAGCAGAAGTCGGGGCGCGTTCTTTTCTGTGTGCGCAGCTGTGCAATTAAGATATCCTGTCTCAGTATTAGGGATTACGGGCAAAACTGAATAGAGTCGCAGGAGGTGATTCGCTGCCCCCTTCCCCCCTTACTTTTTTTTTTCTCTCAGCTGATCGTGTCGCGTCGACCGTGTGCTACGACGGGGGACGCTGCGTTACCCCTAGCTGTGTCAGCACAAGACATATCGTTCGGACTCGTATATACATGTGATGAATAAGCGTTCCAAGGCTGTTTAATCGGGGTACGTCGGATATGCTACAGCTATGTACGCCTGGAAGGCTGCTTTATCGAAGCAGATAAGCGAATTAAGCGCGACTTGCGCGTACCTGTAAATGGGACCCGGCCGACGAGCCACCGTCGCTTACAAGGCCACACCAACAATGAGCGCAAACTACCAAAATTCCAAATAATGATTGTATTGTTTCTCAGCTCAAGAGCTTAGTATACAACAATAAGAATAAAATGACATATTAAACATAATAATGACAATAATAATAATACAGTATAATGACAACATAAACATAAGAATAAAATGACAATATGTCTCACCACGCGCTAATCACAATTAAACTGGATACCGGCTAGCAATTACCTATTAATAGAAGAAAAGGGTCTTTCACGTTGGGACATGCGTTAATTGATCTCCACCAAAGCCAGGCGAGGTGAGACGGCATAAGTAAGGTAGTCGTCTTGTTGCTGTTGCGAACGAGACGGCGCTTGGCCTTTTGCCATTCACTTTCAATCCTTTGCATGTTGGCGCCTGTCGTAGGATCAACAAAGTTGACACTGTGGTTCACAGTGTGCCAGTCCAAGTTTAGCGGTGTTCCGTTGGCATCCACAAGTCTGGGTATGCACTGGTACGCGGCCCACTCGTCGCTGTACACCGTCGTCCCGGGAAGAATGTGCTACCGGTCGAAGCGATGGCACAGGCGACAGTCCGATTTCACGAAGAAAGGCCTCTTCCGAGGCAGGGTACCTTATGATGCTGGCGATTTCGACAATGCTGGGGTCTATCTGTGGCGTGGCCATGACGAGACGCTTCCTGAACTGGTAACAGTGTAGCTTGCATGGCTAACGTTACAGCATTTTATAAGGGTCATGAGGTGAAAGGGGGATAGAGCGCTCTAACGTTGACAGGGCGCCTACGTGATGCAGCATCAGCGGGGAAAGAGGGGGTGGGTCGACGTGGCGCGAGCATCTGCGGAGAAAGAGTGGATGGGCCACGGCCCTAACGCCACGCGAGCACCTGCGGAGAAAGATGGGATGGGCAAAGACACCTGGAATTAAAAAAAAACACAAAAAACCTTTTTGGACCTCTAACGTTGGTTGACATGGCGCCGACCCGACGCGAGTGTCTGCGAAGAAAGAGGGGTTGGCAAAGACGCCTGGAATAAAAAAAACATAAAAAACCTTTTTGTACCTCTAACTTTGGTTGACATGGCGCCGACCCGACGTGACGCGAGTGTCTGCGGAGAAAGAGGGGCGGGTCACGGCGCCAACGCGACGCGAGCATATGTGTGAAAATACGGGATAGGCGAAGACGCCTCGAATCGTACAACACCTAGGTTATGTACTCCACTTCGGTGCCCCTCCTTCTCCACAGCAACGGTGACTTGAGCGGGAGTGCGAACGACGTTACGTGATGCTACGTGATGTGACCGACGTATCACATAAACAGTACACCACCCAGGGCACGTACTCCACCTCGGTGCATTGGGCGTCGATACATGGCCAAACTTGCTCACGTAAACCTCTTAAATTTCCTTATTTGATGCTCCCTATCTCGGTCGCAATCCCTAAGCTTTAGGATCGTGATCCTTACGAATTGCCGTAACGTTAGTTGTGCAAAGTACATTGTCACCATAGCAGGAGCCGTCGCGTTATCAAACTGTCGAAGACGCCATCGCTTCGAGCGGCAGTTCGACCTGCAGATAGTCGGGAACAGCACAGAAGCGGCCGCTGACATCGAGTGATGGGGAATTCGCAAGGACCTCGGCTTAATTATGGTGACCCAGGATGCAGTAAGTCATCACGTACAATCATCCCGGCAAAAAAAAAAAAACGAGCAGACCCACACTTCAGGTACAATGGTTGCAGGAAACAGCTAGCTGTCCCAGCTCCGCGGGACACTCATGATGCAAGGTAGACAGGGGCAAAGCTCCTTTTTTTTTGCCTCTCAAGTGGTACTTGGTCGTTGCACGTCTCAACGTGAAAAACCCTTTCCTTTGATTAATGGAGGTGATCGCTCGCCGATATCCGGTTTAGGGATCCCTGCCATATCGTGATGATGAGCGTGTACTGAGACATATTATGCCATTTTATTCTTATGTACCCACCCTATTGTTTTATACTGCGCTCTTGAGCCGAGAGACAATTTGTGCTTATTGTGGGTGGGGCCCTGTAAGCGACGGCGGCTCGGCGGCCGGGTCCATTTTACTGGTACGCGCAAGTCGCGCTTAATTCGCTCCATCTGCTTCGATAAAGCAGCCTTCCAGGCATACATAGCTGTAGCATATCCGACGTACCCCGATTAACCAGCCTTGGAACGCTTATTCATCACATGTATATACGAGTCCGAACGATATGTCTTGTACTGACACAGCTAGGGGAAGCGTAGCGTCCCCCGTGGTAGCGCGCGGTCGACGTGACAGGATCAGCTGAGAGAGGAAAAAAAAAAGAAAAGTAAGGGGGGAGGTGGGCAGCGCATCACCTCCTGGGACTCTATTCAGTTTTTCCCGTAATCCCTAATACTGAGATGCGATATCTCAATCGCACAGCTGCACACACAGCAAGAGAACGCGCCTCGACTTCTGTAATGGGCGGTTCATTCCGTTAATTAAAATGGCCTCTTAATTGCGCAGCAGCGCCGCGCTCGACTTCGGCTAGGCGCGGTTCATTCCGTTAATTACAACGGCCTCTTAATTGCGCAGCAGCGCCGCGCTCGACTTCTGCTAGGCTCGGTTCATTCCGTTAATTAAAACGGCCAGCGTCGCCCATGCACTCGCGAAATGCACCGCGGATAGCACCAAACTCTTACGGAGAAGCCACAACTACAAGAGAAAAGTTTTCAGCCAAGAAATGCACCGCGGATAGCACCAAACTCTTACGGAGAAGCCACAACTACAGGAGAAAAATTTTCAGCCAAGAAATGCACCGCGGGTAGCACCAAACTCTTACAAAAAGACACAACTACAGGAAAAATTTTTAGCCAAATTTAGCGGCATTCTGGACAACCATCCTTCCAGTCTGGCAACCACTTATGCAACGCCAAAAGGAACCTTCTTGATGGATAAGCCTGAAATTACAAAAGCAACGGGAAGCTAGACTTGAATTCCCACTGGTAAACTTTCATAAGAAAGAATGTGCTAGTCGGCCATCTGACTTCAATATAAACACGCACATAAACCCAATGTCCCTTTGCGAGGACACTAAACTTAGTAAGCTGCGAAGGTCCCAATAAAGTCAATGGTTTTTTCTAAACGGTGTCAACGTGTTCTCCAGGCATTAAACCTTTGCACGCCGTTGCAATTTTTAAAAATGAAAAGCGTTAATACCAACGATAAAGCGACTTACCAGGCCGTCTCGCATAAAACGTTCTGGCGCTGATTGCCGCCATGTTTTTTCCGAGCGGGAAAGAGAAATTTTGCCGAGCTCAAGGTAGATGGCGCCACAAACCTTGTCCTCCTAGAGGGACATTGGTTCTCTCCGCTGCACAACCGTTGTAGTTTTCGTCGCCTGTGAACCAATGTCCCTGTGGGGGGAGAAAAGGTCTGAGGAGGTTAATGCGTCATCCCGCGGAGGAAGGAAAGGTGCTTCATCCCTTCCGCCAGGGACATCACGCCAAAGAGATTAAAACTCTAATGCAGAATGCGGCACGCGCATGAGGCGGGCCTACAGAACACAGACATGTTTTTAGAAAAAAAACTGGTGAACGATTTAGAGTACTTGGTACTCTACTATAGGGGAGTACTAGGCCATCCCGTGAGCCTCTTAGTGACCGTTCGCATTGTGTTTAAAAAAAGTGGTTAATGATTTAGAGTTTTCGGTACTCCACTATGGAGAGCTGAAAGGCGTCCCGTCGTACCCCAAAAGGTAGAGAAGTGTGTTCAAAAAAA